TACTACTACGTTCGTACGCACTACGTACGTACGCACATGTTCAAAATTTCGGTTCGAAGGTTGGCAAAAAAATTAATCATTCAAATTTTATTAACTAACTAGATGCTGCGTGACATCATCGCGCAATGCTAAATCTAAAATTACGTATGAGTTTGCATATAACCGATTCTTCTGATTTTTTTATCATTAAAATCAACCAATGGGAAAATTTATTTATACAGACCCTTATTATCAATATGCAATATTAACATCAAGTAATAATGAAAAATATCGATATCGTTTTTTTCATCGAAATTAAAGTTACTCTCAAGTGCTGATACACGGCACTTGGGAGTGGCATTATCTTTGATACTTTTTATTAAGAGGAGTAATTTAGACACCCATATAGTCATGCTTAGGGTTGTGTTACGAAAGTTAAGATCTTACAATGCCATTATTTGTATGTAAATTTCAATATTCCGTGATGCTTATGCAAGCATTTCACTAAATATAAGCACTATTGTATTTGCAAGTTTCTATGATAAAATAATTAAGTTTATAATAAACAGAAATAAAGTTAAATAATATATCTATTTGTTAGCTAATGATTAAAAAAATGTTTAAGTTATTCATGTTTAATTTAGTGTGTTTTGTATCTATTGTTTATGAATAATTGTTTATTAATCAAAAACTTTATTTAACCTATTTAATGTTTTCTTGTTTATATTGATTTTTATTTGTGTATAATGTGTATAATGTGTATAATGATTATTTATCAATTGAAATATTTAATTTGATAATTTTTTTATTTGATTTAGTTGCATTTAATTGGGAACAGATATATTGGCTTTATTCATCAGTACGGTATTGTATAATTATCGTGCAAACTCTTATGCATTTCTTGGAGCACTTGGGCGATTAGTTCGTGGTTAGCAATTTCTTCACTAGTTAGGGATTTGTTCATAATATTTGGCAGTTAGAATAAAAGGGCTGGCGGCTTTAAAGATTATTCAGAGTCTTTTTTGGTAAATAATTTACCAGTTACTTTTTGGATTAAGCCGGACTTATAAATAAATAAATGAGCACCACCATCTTCCGTTTTAGCACTATTTACTACCTTGGCTGCCGTTGTGCTATCATTAAAGGCTTTTTCTATTTCAGTTAAAAGTGTTGCATCAGTTGCTTCAGTTCAACTAGTTTTCTTTTTGATTTGCTTTACTTTCTCCAACAGTTTACAAGTCTCATAGATTTTTTTCTTCTTGTTATTTTTTGTACGTTATTACGTAAGCACAACAATCTCGAATTAAAACTCAGTTAGCCAACCACGACTCGTTGGGGTGTTCCACGCCCTATGATTTACATAGTGCAGTACTATATGATCATTTTATTAGAAAAATTTAACATAGTAATTTTATAATAAAATCGGTGTATTTTTAAAATGAAATAACTTCTATTCTAATGAAGCAAATTAAATTCTGTAACTTGTAAATGAAATATTGGGAATATGGTTTTAAAACTATGTTGAGACATTTTCAATTTTATCATATTTATTTAATTAAAATTTACTAAATTACAATTGTAATTAAATTGTAATTAATAAATTACAATTTTAGTTAAATAAATACAATTATTATAAAACGCACCTATGGTGGTTTTGCACCTATTGTATGTTTTATTATGTTTTTTAAAATTTTCTAAGTTTTATAAGTTTTGTATATAAAATTTTTAACACCAATTTTTTCACGTTAAAATTAATATTAAGGTTAGAATTAGGGTTTGGGAAGGGTTTTTGGGGGCGTAGAATATTTTTACTTAGAACACCTCACATCGATTAATTAGCCAGTTTTTGAAATAATGTATACATAGGTGTAAAACACCATAGGTGCGTTTTAGTAAAATCCAAATAAATATGATAAAATAGAAAATGTCTCAACATAGTTTTAAAATCATATTCCCAATATTTCATTTACAAGTTACAGAATTTTATTTGCTTCTTTAGAACAGAAGTTATTTCATTTTAAAAATACACCGATTTTATTATAAAATTACTGTTAAAATTTTTCTAATAAAATGATCGACAAAATTTCAAAAATCTTACATAGTGCGTTTATCATATAGTGCTGCACTATGT